AAAGAAAAAAAAAAAAAAAAAAAAAAAAAAAAAAAAAAAAAGTGTAGGCTGGATATCAGGAAAAATCTGTAATATATTAAGATCTCAGGGAAATGAAGGAAGATTCTTGATTAAATGAGATAAAATCCCTACCCAAGGGAAATTAAGGGCAACTTTACATTATCATGGAGATGGAGTCTTCTCTATGTTTAGGTCTTTGGGACAATTCAGTCCCCACGAAAGCCGTGGAATTTGTGATTATCAGCTCAGGGTTTGGTTGTTGTTTTTTTTCTTTTTTTTCGGTATTTTTATGTGTGGACAGAGGAGCAACAACAATATTTTGTTAATAAACAATGTCAGAACTGCATTCTAAAACACCACCAGGATGTTGGTAGAAAAACAAGGCTGCTTTTGTTTGTTACAGTGCGTAATGCCTGATGAGTTTAAACCACAGTTTAGGAGCTACTGTTAAAAAGCTTCTTGCTGAGTCAAGCCTAGGCACGTTGTTTACAAGGGTTAGCCCCGAAGGCTCTTTCACTGGCAGGGACTTTTAAGCTGAGCTAAGGAGTTTTAAGATATTTTTGTTGTGATTTAAAAAAACAAAAGAAAAGAAAAAAGGTATGCATAGCTAAGCACACCAAACAGAGGGGAGTGGAAAGGAGTTCTCTGTAATTCCTTTCGTATCCACCAGCAGCTTTCCTCTGGAGTGAAGGGCTTGGTCTTGTAAAGCTGGTGCTGAGTCCCCTTAGTTTAAAGCAGATGGAGTTACTGCAGAGAACAGGCACCAGTGGAGTTGGGTTTGGTGGGGAAATTTGCTAAAATATAAAATACCCCTTTTGTTAGAAAAGAACCTGTGCTAACTTATGAAATGAATTTCTYTGGTTCAGCTTTGAGCCTGCAGACACACCTGGCTGACGACTTTTGCTCAAATAGTGCTGACCTACAACCAACAGCGAAGAGTGAAATTCTGACAAATCAATAAAAGCTGCATGCAGAAAATGCATGTAAGACCCACCACTGCTCTTCCACAAAGCCTGGGCCATCCTGTGCTCTGAAAGAGAGGATCACAGGGAAAAACTGTATGTGGCTCTGAAATTTGATTCTGTATCTCCAGARTAATGCAGAAACTCCAAATTTATTTTTCTGTCTTTTCTAAGCCTTTGACTACCGTAGTACTACTATTAAATCAATGTTACACTGTGGAAGTGTTGGCTCATACAATTTATATGCCCCAATACAATTTGTTTTATTCATTCTTCTCTAGTTCTACATTCCTGGAATAGATTTCATCCCATATTCAGTTTCACTCCATYCTGCATTACATCCTTTAGAGTGTCCATTGGACTCCAATCCTCCCTCTCCCTCCATCCTCCGTATTATCACAGGCTCACACCCATCAGAATCCAGGACAGTATCTTGAATCCACAATATTCTTGTTGGTTTGCACTGCAGAGAGCTCAAAGATCATCTGAACGAGATACTCTGTTTTTCCAGACAAGTTAAGCAAGCACCCAGATTCTGTTAAATTATTGTTAATGCCTAATAAAATAAGTCCAAAAAATAAAGATGTCAAAAAAAAAAAAATCATCATCAAATAAGCAAAACCAGCAGAGGYTGTACAGAAAAGTGGGTTGCCCTAATGACTGCAGAAACACCAAAACAACTAAAAAAAAATTTCTAAAAGGAGACTTTGAGGAAACCCCATTATGATCTGCCTCTGGACATATGTAATAAATCCTCAGTGATTTAGAGGAATACTCAAGTCCTGAAAATTATTTGTCATRCTGCTTAACAAGAAAGTCACTGAGATACAAGGAATGAAAACACTGAGGAGAAACGCAGCAAGCCTTTCAGGCCCGTCTTGACATGGGGTCCTTTATTACTCAAGTTTTCCACATTCCCATCGATGTTCCCAAGCAAAGGGTCCCACAGGTGGTTCTGCTCAAGAGAGCCTTTGCAGATGAGTTCCCTCCAGTTGAGATAAAATAACGTATGTTCTCATTAGGCCAAATGCAAACAGTGATGAAGGGGAATGCACTGCCAGGTCACATCAAGCAATCAGGAAACAAACATAATGACATAATGCAGCAGGCAGATAATAAGACCCCATAGTTAGCAACAAATGAGACTGCACTTAATTTRCCGTGCAATGTTCATGTAATTAGATAAATTTGGTACCGTCAAGACAGCAGACAGGTAGAATATAGACTTGATGAATTGGGGGCTCTCTGTCAGGCACCGATCACATTAATCATAAAGCCAAAACTCAGTGACGCAATTTTTCTTCCAAACATTTGCCATAATTTTCTATAGTGAAAATATGCACATGCCCTTGGGTTTTTTTTTACCGAGTTGTTTACTTTTGAAACAAGAAGGATTGATTTCTGCACCACCAGGATGGAGTACAAACTTCTAGAAGCTCATCTGTGCCTACAGAGTCCACTGAGTGTATTTAACAAGAGCCATACAGCCACTAAATATGCCCAGGTCTACCATGTATGGATGATTTCACTTTGGACCCCCTTCTGCAAGGAGAGTGAGTGCTACATTGTGACCTCCAGAACAGAGACCAGAGAGAGAAGAAAGACAAAAGAGAAGAAGAATAAAAAAAACTGGAGGTGTAAAGGGCAAGATGTGATTTAAGAAGTTGGCAGGTAAAATTTGAAGAGGATAAATGACTGAGAGACTAACTCCACATCTGCARAGAATTTTCCCAATGTGGTTGTGCCATAGTGCAGGGTACTTGAAAAACAGCCAAATGGAAGTGGCATTCCCTCGATCCYGAAAAACCACCACAGCCAAGAAGCACTTGGCTGCTCAGCTTTGGTGCTTCTCCAACCACAAAGGCACCTTTCAGTGCAGAGCCCAGGTAGTTTCAAAGAGGACTATATTTCCTCTTTAAGACTCACAACCATGTTTTCTCTCCGGTACCTGGCAAGTTGGTTTTGTGAGAGGATCTGCTGGGAACAAGAGGAATCCCAAAGAAGAAGGCAACGGGTATTTGCCAACAGCAGTGCCCAAATGCTAAGCAAGACACTCTTTGTCCACTGACAGACAAATGTGGTAACTGCTAACACAGCAGATTATTAATATCAGTGCAGATGAACAGAAACCTTATCTGCCAGCCTGTACAACTAGCCAGGGTCAATCAGCAGGACAACCCCAATATGATAAAACACTGGGGTTACTGGGGCTATGAATCACAGGTAATAGCATCAGCTGGCGAGCTCTCAGTTGCATTTTGTAGAAGACCTTGCYTCATGACCCCACCACAGAAACTGCTGTGGAGCCCCAGGGTATACGCCGTGCACCCACATCTCCTCATAAGGAGTGAAGGGGAGCACCGAGCGGGGCACACAAATAACCYGTAACAAACATCAGGACACCTGCCAGCCTCTCTTCTAACCACTGTTTTGAATATCACCCTTTCAGTATGTGCTTTATTAGCTAGAGCTCTGCCTTATTAAGTATCTCCCAGCAAGTTATTATTCTGCCTTTTTTTTTCCTACAATTTTTGCATGTACTTGCATGAAAGAGCAGAACTATTTCATGTAGCCTCCCGAATTCCCCCCAGTTCTCTTGTTAGCAACCTGCTTTGTCATYTCCCCTTTGAGCACAGCATGGAAGAAGCTGCTCTGCCCCTTTAAACATCCACTCAAACTGACTGCCAGCCAAAAAGACAATGACTTGTCTTCTGGTAGGATCCAGGGGAATGCCCTATCATTTATTTCTTGCAGTATTTTGGAAGCAGAATAAAGCCGCGGTAGCTGTGGGGCTCTACACATCTCCTGGCTGYTGCTTTCTGCATTAGTCGCTTCCCAGGGACTGTTCTCCTGCTCACACCTATCCAGAAGCAGCACAGCTCCACAAACAGCCCCTGCAAAGCTGGGTCAGCACTGGCCCTGGCCAGACAATGAGGCTGCAATGGGACTCCAGGGGATCAAATGAGAGTTTTTTAAGTGATGAGCCCAAGCTGACTGTTTCTTCATGCAAAAAGAAAAAAAAAAAATGTTTTTTGGCCCTTACTGGTTCCCCTACATCAAGTGCTCTGGGACCTGTCCCTCAGCCGATGTCTGAGCCCTATGTTACAGCTGCAGGCTGAAGGATTTTGGGACGGGACTGCAAATCCCATCACGCTGCTCCTCGCCTCTTGTGGGGAATGTGCATTTCAGGGACTAGAAGAAACACTTCCAGCCCCATGGTCACTAGAACTTCTGCTCACATTGCTGCTGGCTCCATTTTCCTTGCACTTATCAAAACTTACAGGAGGTGAAAACAGATCTCTGTATAAACACCTCCTTCAAGACATCAAGAACAACTGATCTGTCATGKTCTGGATGAGATTAAACATGAACCCCCCTCTTGGGGTGTAGCCCCATATCAGTCTCTGTACTCACTGCCCACCAGCTACCTTGGGAAGAGGAGGCTTTCATGAGAAGGTCACCATCAAAACCCAGAGTCCTGCACCTCTACAGTGSACAAGGACACCCACATGAGGACCTGTCTTACTACCACTTTTAGAAAATGCCCCCCAGCCTGTTCAGGCTGTTGTCCAGTGAAATCAAACTGAATTACGGCATTGCTGGCAGCCTTTTGCCACTGTCCCCATGACTGGCAGGYAGGGAGGAATGATACACAAAGTCTCCAAAGAGAAGGAGCAGCGTTGGGTCTTTGCCGAGATGGTGACAGAAATGACCCAGGCAAGGCATGATGTGAGAAACACGGCGGGTGCAAAAACACAAGTCAAGCCTGTTCCCGGGGCCTGAGCAGAATAATGACAAAGAAGCCCTGTGCTCCTATCCTGCTCCTATAGGGCACTTCTATAGGCTTAGCAGAGCTGTAAAGCACTCCTGCCAGGCAGGTCAGCATTGTCACTGGATGGGGACAATGAGGTGCAGGGTGGCCAGTAGGGCCGGCTTGGCAGAAGGGCAGTARGTCCCAGGGGCGTTAGCAGCGGGATTCAGAATGCTGCAGGTGGCTGATGTTTTAGCAAGGCACAGCAGCGGAGGTGTGAGACTTACCCGTGGATGGCGTGGATAGAGTGAGGTTCGTAATGGTATCGTCCTTCCTGGTGGCGCATGTCAATTGGCAAAGGAGCGTGGAAGGCCGGAAAAATGTGCTGCGGCACTGTTATGGGGAATAGAAGAAAAAAAAAAAGGGACTTCAAAAACTTTTCCTTCCCTTTTAAAACRATTTCAAAGGCACTAAATCTCCATGAATTTCAGAGCAAGAGCAGTGCAAGACAAGGGGTCTTCATGATATCAGCGCTATCATACACCAGAGAAGTGGAATGAATAAATAATCAAAGTCATGCGGAAAAATCCTACATCTTCGACATAAAAGATCTCCAACAGGGTTTTTGACAAAGACAAGCAGCTAAGCGCTCTTTGAACTTGAGGAGATTATAGCAAGCACCAAGGAAAACTAGACTTGCAACGCAAATCAGGCTCAACAGAGCCTGGTGGGATCCAGACCTGCATCGTCCCTCAAGCCTGGAGTGGCAGCAAACACTGTTCCTGAAGGTCTRTACACACAAGCGGGAAATATTTACCTAAAAATATAACAACTAGAGCAGCGCTAAAGCAGAATGTCTAGGCAGTCAGAAGAGGCTCAGAAGTGCCTACTGCCAGGTTCTGAGAGAGGAGCTCAAATTGCTCTCACTTGTAATCACTTGAGGCCCTATTTTTTATTCATTTGAGAAGCTTGTTTCATCTTTGATGGAAAGATAAAGTGGTCTCAAAAGGCAGCGAACACCTACATTGACTTATTAAATCTACAGGTTTTAATATTTATTATTGACCCCAAAAGTTAACGGCGAGAATATCTGAGTGAGTTGAGCTGATGGAAAATTCATCAGGTTATTTCTCCTCACCACCCCCGACAACGCTGCCCGGCTGCCTGGGCCTTTCCTGCTAAAACTACCGAAGCTAAAGAAATACAATTAGCAGAACCTTAGTAGCGATACTGCACAACCTCAATCGCGATCCCGTACAATCACCCTCTCACAGGACTCCGCGCATCTCTAAAGATGCCCGTTTCTACATTTGGGGCAGCGATCGGCTTAAGGATAAAAGGCTGGTCTTGCTCTGCATTTACAAACAGCCACAAGTTCTTCATAAACGATTAATTAATATTGTTGCAGGTTTTACCATYCTTTCTCTGTCTTCTTGGCCTTTCTGTCTAACTGGAGACTGAAAGTAAAACAAACCAACCTCCTAAGTGAGCACTTCAAAACCCAGCCTGTGCTCGGTATTTCACTGTGACTTGCCTCYGTGACAGGTACCATCTCTCTGGAGACTGGGGAAGCACCATCCAAAACCAAAGTGTCAAGGCTTGGGCCAAGTCTCTCGCTGTCGCTCAGCAAACTTCAGTAAACGCCAAACTCTTTTTCTATGAAAGACTTAAAATTCAGCCTTTTGCATCTCCCGCTGCACCAGAGTTACGCCGACCGTGTCCGGTGGGGCTGCGCTCCGCTCGGGTCCGTCGCGYGAAGCCTGCGTGTAATCCTCATATATGTCTTTCCCGGCATATCAGCGAGAGGATCTGCGGCTCCTACTCCCATTGCAGCGCTCAATCCCTGAGYGCAGCGCGGCACAGGCGCGTCAGCCAGGCTGCTGGGAGAGGTGAGAGACTACACAAAAACAACCCTGCTGCCAACTCTGCTGAAAGGCGTTAAGCTAAGGTAGTYGGGGTGGAAAGTATTTAAGGCTCCACAGCAGACTTGCTCTCCGTGCTCCAGCAAAGGGCTGGCACCTCACACTACCTGATACACTGGGAGCATTTTTGCAGCTCGCCTAATGTCAGGACACAGTGGAGTAACTGTTAACCACCTCCCCCGCTTCTGCCCCCCTCCCTCCTCTCCCAAAAGCAGCTCAGGGAGAGAATGAACTTAGATCCTTCAGGACTTGCTTTTGCAGGAAGAAGATTCACCCTCTAACCATCCTGGGTAGGGAGGATCTGTTCCATAAGGACACTTGTAGGGAGTCTTCATTTTAAGAGGCAACCAGTGTTTTTCCAGGTCACAAAAGCACCAGAGTTTAGCTGTCACACCCCATCCTCTGCTCACATAGCACAGTAAAGCCTCTGGTCTCCCCAAACCATGCTCAGTTCAAACTCCTGCCTGGGCTGGCTGACACCTAAAGGTACCATCGTCCTCCCTGGGGACACTGCTGCTCCCTGGCCACATCTGCCACCACAACCCACATCTGCTGTGGTGACTGCAGGGAGTCAGGCAAGGAGCTTTTACATCATCACATAGACCATCACAGAATCAACTGTCCCTGCACCGACATCCATGGGCAGACAAGACAAACATCTCCTCCAGACTGGGCACCTAGGCTGGGCTTCCTGCAGTGATCACCCCATATTTATGCCATCTAAATAAACCCRAAGGAGTAAGAACACTTCTGTGGTCCTGGGGCCAACMCACAGCACKGCTAGTGGSATCCMTATGGGTGAAGAKTAGCAACCTCCCAAAACAGGGTGGSCACTCTGGCTGTAATGGACAGCTATGGGGTTGAGTTAAACCCCAGAGTGCAGGAAAATGTRAGCTGACCTGGGCTGAAACTGTATTTGCCACTGTGGTTGAGTTTAATGATACAGAGAGTCATCCTAATGGCCCTAGAGCAGTTTAATTTATTWATAATGATAAAACTACTAAAACCAGGTCAAACTGAATATCTTAAAAGCCAAGCCAGATATGTTTTACTTTGTAACTGTGCATTTCTACATGATTGATTGCTGAGATAATATTGGAAATTTCTGTGCTAAAAGAGTCTTTCCCTGTCACTCAGGAGAACTGGAAAAGAGAAAACACGGGCTGTTTGCTGCCTGGCCTCCTTTCCTAACTAGCTGTTGGTATAAAATTGACATCTGAAGAGAATTTCTYCCTCCTCACACCTCTGATTATTAATGGCAGAAAAATTTCCATGAACTTCATTCTTCCCACTGGCACTCTTAGTTTGTTTTTTGCATTTCAACCTTTGTGGCCCGTGGGAAGGTCAGCAATACCTCTGCCTTGGGTACCTGTTGCACATCCCCATTTCCAACCCGTCCATGTGCCCTGTGCTTTGCTGCCACCAAGGGCAAGGGGAAGCACTGGTTTTTTTTGACATCTCTTTGTAACATCCCCCTTCATAACTCCCCCTCTGCTTCCCTGCCTGGGAGCACCAGCCGACTGGTGCTGTTCCTTTTTATTCTCTTCCAGGTGCTTGGTCAGAAATAATGAATGGTTTTATAGGCAATCAACTACCAATTCATAAACGTCAGCCTGGCTCTGCTTCTTGTTCCCACCCCTCCAGAAGAGGACTGTGAGCTGGCAGCAGGACAGCAACACACGCCGTTAACAAAGATGGATGTTTTACACATACGAGYTAAAAAGACAATTATATTCAATTACTTCAAGTAAGTTGCGGTGATGTATTCCTGAATAGCCATGGGAAGGGCAATATGATGATTAGGGCAATGAATTTGCCAACTTTAATCTAATCAAGACAATCTTTTGTTTAGCATTATCTGCTTTGCGGTGGCAGAGGATTTACCAAACCCAAGCAATCTTTGTAGATTTAACCCCAAAGCTGCCCAATTAGAGCTAATGATGATTGTTTTACACAAGAGGGAGGGAGATTTTAGTAGGAGGCCTGGGGGAAGCTTTTCCACAGGAGAAGGCTGGACCACACCAAGCCGGGCAGCACAATACTCTGCGGTGCAAAGGCATGACATGGCACCTCCAAAAGTCCCCAAGCACTGGAACCACAGATAAATATTTTCTCTGGCTCCTGCTGAAGGAAGAGAAAGCCGAAGAACACATCCCAAGCAGCACCCAAGGGGCAGGGACAATGAGAGAACAGGGTGTTTTGCACAGAAACAACACAGTTGTACATGAAGCCGGTGTCTCGCAGCTCCCAGGGCGAAGCACAGAGCACAAGGCACAGAGCACAAGGCACAGTCAGGAGAGGAGGCTCCACCTGCACCTCCCACCCCACCGGGGCTCCGGCACGAACGCGTCTGCTCCACTCGTAAGGGGGGCAGACACCGATACCTGTCCCCACTTGTCGGAGCCGACTTTCTGGCCAAGGTTTATGAGCAAGACAGGACCTCCCACKGCTGTGTTCTCATCCCTGTCTATTYAAAGGCCAGCCAACCCTCTGGCTTCAAAGAGAAAAGATATGAGGCAGAAATGCAGGTTTAAAGGGGATGTCCCTTTGCTGAAAATCCTAGGAATTGGGGAGGGAGGCATCAGAAASAGCCCTTATTTGAGGATGATGCAGGCTTTTGATTATCTCTACAGATAAACACAGACTGCATGTATGAGTTTGCACAGCAAGCAAACAAGCTGTTTTGACATCACTCATAGTAGCAGCTCTTTTTGAGCCCAAAAGTGAGAATTAGAAAGGGTCAAGCAAGCTTTTTCTATTCCAAACACTTCAGCCTACACATGCTTGCTAAAAAAAAAAAAATAGGGCAGAAAATAAATCAGACCCCACAGCACTAAAGTGGATTTAATTTGCAGTTTGCTTTGATAAAAACAATTCAGAAAGCCCTTAGGAATGGAACTGAAGATGCTGCCATTTACAACTGGGGTGCTGCAGCAAGACTGGATGGGAAGAGATCCTGAGAAGCCCCAAACACAYCCTTGGTACCACACAGAATGTACTGGGCTCCCCCTGCTTTGCCTGAAGCACATGGGAGCTGTGCAGTCCACTACATGGGCTAAAAAAAATATACAGCTTTCTTATGGATGTCCAGCAGCCTCCCGTGGGAACAAGCAGTCCAGACTGTAAGTAGGCTTCTTTGCCATCAGAAACAGGGCATAAATATTTTGTAATCAACAGTGGAAGTCATTTGCTGAGGAAAAAGTCTGGATGATTCAGTGCCTGTTGTGCTTTTCTCAACRAATTTGCAAGAAAACGCCATAAAAAATTAACATCTTACAAAAGAGGAAACACAGATACTGATTTCTTGAGATGCCTTTTGGTTTGATTTCCCATGGAGTCAGTGATGCATGGGACACAGCTTTCATAAAGGGATCACAAGYTCCCTTGCAAAGACTAACAAAGCTTCACCTCTCTTTAGGAAGGGAAGAAAATGAGCATTTGAAATACAGTCCTGTTTTTTTTTTTTACTCA